ATGCCATACTGTATTTTTCTCTATCCATGAGTACACTTACAGTTTTCTTACCAAAACTTAATATTTACTATTTTATAATAGGCTTTTTATGTGATATATTATTTATTTTCTCATATCACAAGTATTCTTTTATAATATGAGTTTTAGTGAATAGACATTAATTCACTGTGTGAAGATAACACAAGTTTAGCTAATCTTGTGTTGGATATTGTTTGAAATTTATAAAATTTTTAAATAAATATGTTTTCTCACAATAAAAGCAATTCATATTAACTGAAGACTTTTGCAAGGAAAATGCACAAAGAAGAAAAGAGATTTATCATACTCTGAAAAATTATTTGCATGGCGTTTGAAAGATAAGCCTATGAAAACATATTTCTGCAATTGCTATTAAGTCAATGTAAAATATCACATTTCTAGAAATATGGACATGCAAATCTTCAAGAATGCAAATACTGTATAAAGGTAGCTTTGTCAACAGCTATGAATATTTTTTTCTTAATATCTAATGCTGCTACTAAGCTTAATGCTTATAAACATATACATGTTAAAGATGTTTGTGAAAAATGCTTCTTAAGGTATGTAGCAGCATTCCAGGAATTCTACCTATGAACATTAAGGTGAAATGTAACCTTTCTGAAAATCTCCACTGCATTTTAGTCACAGATGAAATAGAGAGAGATTCATTTTTTAAAGTTATGCAGAATATCTGACCTGGGAATTTTTGAAAATATCAACTATTTATCTGAGAGATGTTAGACTTAACCAAGCTTAATTGAACCTGAATTTGTGATCTAGGAAACAGAAACATGATTAATATATCACAGATATAGTAACCATTTGCTATTTCAGCAAGTGAAAGGTGTACTTGTGAATATATGAATGCCAGAACATGTGCCAAAATGCTACCATGATTTTATTACTTCTTGCTGTTCTGCTAATTTTAAAATGACTTCATTTAATCTGAATCAAACTTTTAATATTCCATATCTTGGTACTTGTTTGGCAGGAAAATGTCACAAATGTATTCCTGTGGTCTGTGCACACTTAGCTATTGCAGAAATGTTTAACATCTCCTTTCAAAAAAAGATATCAAAATATTTAGAAAAAAAGAGTGCCACCAGCTAGGATCCATGGTGACAAAAATATTAACATGCAGCTGGATTTGGGAGGAAGTAGTTCAAATCGATAAAAACAGCTACAATTTTTCTCTACTCCAAGCCCTAAACGTACACGTATTATAAGACTCAGAAGTCATGGTTGAGAAAACACAACCTCCATAAGGGCAGTGGTTTAGCAAACTCATGCCAGCACATAACCGTAGAGCCAACCAGCACCCATGCTTGCATAGGAGAAACTAAGAGGCATGGTGGCACCTGGCCATTCTGAACCGGGCTTTGAGGAAGAGCATGTAACTCACTTTTGTAGGTGTTTGGGTGCATCTGCAAAACATCAGGGGTAAGAGTGTAGCCTGCGGGTTATGCACACTTGCACAAACTAATTATAGAAATGTAGATGTGCCAAAAAACATACCTGAGTGTCTTTGGCCAAAGAAGGGAAAGAAAGAAAACTAAGTTGAATCTCAGACCAAAGCCGAACACACTGAAAGAACACTGGTTATTTGAGAGGATAGAGCCTCTGTATGTCTACTAGGGCATCGAGGATGGCATGTGCTAACACAGGCATGAAAATAGATACTAATCCTCGTGTTTAGGAGGTGAAAGCAAATCAGTTCAGATAAGTTACTCTACCCGAGTGTTCAGTTTAATTGAGGTCATTTCGGATTGCCAATTCAATATATTGACAGGAAAAAAATCCAAACTAAAGTTTGCTGTAGTACAAGCCATGAGTCTCACTGGTTCTCACACAACAGCAGAGGTAGGAGCAGGTGATGAGCGATAACAGAGCTGATACCAGTTGGCTGGGCTACTGAGATTAAACACACAGCTGTCTTGGCACCAGCGAACAGGCAGCTCCTGCAACTTGCACTTTTCACCCTGAAATGTATAATTACTCCCTTGACTAGGGCACAATGCTAACCTTTCCTTCTACTTCATTTATTAACATTCTTTTGTGCATGATTATTCACACAAATGCACTTTTTGCCCCTTAAGATGTAAATGTCATAGGTAAAACCAATATTTGTATAGATCAAACCATTTTCCTTTGACTTCCAATATAAATTTTACAGATGAGGTCCATAGGCACACAGGCTAAGTTGGTGACCACTACCGGTAAGTAGAAGGTGTCATGCAATAACAGCCCTCTGTAGTTGCATAGAGCTTCACAGGTTTTAAGTCACTTTCACATACATGACTTTATTTCACACTCACAATAGCCTAGGAAATAGGGCAAGAGTTATCATTTGTGTACCATTGAGTAAACTAATCTGGATCTAGAGATGTTTCATGTGTTGCTTAAGGGCCCATGACTAGTAACTATGCAGATTTTCTAACTCAGAGTTCAGCATTCTTGCCTCTAGAGTGTAAACTAAACTGGATCACTGCTGTATTTTTTCAAAATATATATATATTTCGAGATAAATTTCTCCATATGTTTCTATGCATAGACATCTAGATAAATTTCTGTATATACTACTTACATATAGATATTTCTAGAAAGGAGAGATGTTGTCTGCCTAAACTCTCTAATTCCATCCCTATATCAACACTAGAAGGAAACAGGAATATAATATTTCCTTTGAAGTCTGGGAGGATTGGGAGGAGGACCCTCTGCTCTGGCCACATGGAAAGAAATGCAGGAGGAACTAACTCTTCATCCTGGAAATACACACAGCATGAGTCATCTATTTTAATGTAACGACAATAGTCTCTATGCTCTGAAGTTACTTTATATACTCGGAGAAAGTTGGCAGAATAACCCCCAACCTACAAGTCAGGAACTTGGGCTATTGAAAGTTTTATTTAAATGACCTTTCCCTTTAACAAAGTCTGAATGTGAGGCTTCCTTCCATTCCTGCAGGCCTCAGGGTATAAGGAAAACAGGGTGTTGCAGTAATAAAGATGTCAATAAGAATTGAGTAAATAATAAAAACATTGATAATACCACAATAGATGATGTCCAAAGACAGTTAAAACTGGAAAATATCAAAAGAAGTGAGGGCAAGATTTCTCTTGGGTGTTTGAATTTCTAAATCTCTTAGGAATAATTTTTATTATCTGCAAAATCTTAAATATTTAATTGTATTTGTCAATGCAACATCTATTGGAGCTTATGTCTTGTTTTATTTGGCACTTTAGTGAGGCACTTTTGCACAATTATGTCAACACATTGAGTTAGCCTTTGTCAAGAAAGGCAAGCATTTGAATCTTTGTCAGTCAAGCATTTCATTTTTAAAAAATGATCTGAGTCAAGAACAATAGACAACTATTCCTGGCTTCATTAGTGCCTTTATTTTTATCTTTTCCTTTGACACTCTTTCTCAGGCACATCTGGGCAAGTCTAGTTACACTAAGCCCCATTTAAAGGATACCAAAAATTCCATAATGAAGTTCTCTCCACTTGACTGAAAGATTTTCACTCTCAGGAAGAGTGGAAATTGAATATGATTATCTTTCACTTTGAGATTCAGTCATAATAGGAACAGGTGCATTGAAGCCAGATTGGGGTTAGTAATGAATGGGGAGAAAGTGCAGAGACTATTAGATTCAATATACAACCAAATTTAGCAGGAGTAAGGCAGAGAGGTTGACAGGGAGATGAAATCAAGAATAGATTAAATACCACAAATCTCATTAGTCCATACCTAATACAATGAACAGTAGATTCTGTTACATTTTGAAACAAAAGAAAACACATTGAGAAGGGACCGTAAGTTTTAATTAATTAGATATACATTAGTTACTCTTAATTAGTTCATATTTCCCAAAGTTAATAAACACTCAGAGATTATGTTTAATTCTCTGCTAATTAATATTAACGTTAGAAATGTTAAGAAAAAAGTCAATTTCTAGAAATAGTGTGCATGTGCCTTTCATGCTATCTGTATGTTTTATTTTTTTTAATAAGTTAATTTTTATTGGTGTTCAATTTACCAACATATCTGTATGTTTTAAATGGCTTCTTGCACAAGTGGAAATACTCTTAATTATTTTTAACTCTAGATGTAGTCAGAGACTCTGTTTCTTAAGAAGTGGAGTTAGAGAGACTACCTATGATGAGCCTTCAGAAAGATTTAGTGTATATATTTGCCTAAGGAGGAATGACTTTATCACTGTCTTTCAAAAGAGTTGAGCACTACTAGGTATTTACCCAAAGGATACAAAAATACTGATTCGAAAGGACACATGCACCCTGATATTTATGATAGCATTATCAATAGACAAATTATGGAAAGAGTCCAAATGTACATTGACTGATACGTGGATAAAGAAGTTATGATATATATACGTATGTGTGTGTGCATGTGTGTGTGTGTATGGTGGAATATTACTCAGCCATAAAAAAGAATGAAATCTTGCCATTTGCAACAACATGGATGGAGCTAGAGAGTATAATGCTAAGCAAAATAAATCAATTATGGAAATACAAATACCATATGATTTCACTCAAATGTGGAATTTAAGAAACAAAAAGATGAATGGGGTGGGGGAGAGAAGCAAACCATAAAACAAACTCTTATCCATAGAAAATACACTGAACATTGCTGGAGGGAAGGTGGGCTGAAGGATGGGTTAAGTGGGTGATAGGTATTGAGGAGGGCACTTGTGATAAGCACTGGTTATTTTCTGTTAGTGATGAATCACTAAACTCTACTCCTGAAACTAAGGTGAGACTACATGTTAACTAAATAAAATTTAAATAAAAAACCTAAAACAAAAATTAATATGTAAATACATAAAATTTAAAAACACACACAAAAAAAACCTTTGTTACCTTTAGAGACAAAATGCAAGAATCAAAATGGCTGCATTATATTCTTTTTATAATTATTATTTTTCTTTTTCTTAAAGCATTTGGAGACTTAAAATAGCACCTACCAATAACAACCATTTATGTTTTTCTCCTTGCTGGAATAGTTAAGTAACGGACTCTTCTATAAGACAGTGAAACTCCTCATGGGTAGGGGTCCCTTGTTGGTTGTGTTCATCAATGTAGACTCAGCTCTTATCAGAGTACCTGGAACATAAAAAAGTCCAGTAAAGATTTGTAGAATAAATGAGTGATTAGACTGTATATTCAAACTGGCTTCTTGAATATCAAACATCTCTACACATCTTCAGAATGTATATGGTGAAGAAGGAGTGCAGGCTTTATAGGTAAACAAGGTTGGATTCTAATTTAAGCTAATCACCAAATGAGCCTCAGTTTCCCCTTATATAAAATGAGACGTATGATGCTCACTTTGCTTGACTGTAGTACAGATTACAGATATTGCACACACGAACACACACACACACACACACACATGCACAAAGTCCAGCAGAATATCTGATATTTATTATATGTTCCATAAATTGAAGTTATGGAACTTCATAACTTATTATGAAGTTAATTTTTACCATTTAATACCCAGATCATCTATTAAAGTAAGTTTAAAATGAAAAGCTTAGCCAAAGCCTAGTGCAACCTCTCATAAATGAGAAAAATTAGTCTAGAAAGAGCAAGTGGTTTGCTGAAGAGTCAAAAATTAGTGCTCTTCAGAGAAATGAGGATCTGTACCAATTCCTGCTGAAGGATTTAAGATCAGATTTCACTGGATCTGTCCTCTATTTTTAACTGCACATACATTTGGCACAATTCAGCATATCTTTTTCTATTCCCCACAAAGCTAAATATATGTGGATAAGTTACTATCTCTTAATATTAATCTTAACTTCTTATATTTTTATACCTCCTCTGTCTCTGAAACCAGGTAAATAAACTTAGAAATTGTGCATGATGAATCAGTTCTCCAAGTGACTGCAGTATATACCAATTTAGATTGCCATGAATATTGGTTGAATTAAATTATTTCAATTTGTTTTTGATGTATCACTTCAATTTTTTTTAAATTTTTATTTATTTATGATAGTCACACAGGGAAAGAGAGAGAGAGAGGCAGAGACACAGGCAGAGGGAGAAGCAGGCTCCATGCACCGGGAGCCCGACGTGGGATTTGATCCCAGGTCTCCAGGATCGCGCCCTGGGCCAAAGGCAGGCGCCAAACCACTGTGCCACCCAGGGATCCCGCTTCAATTTTTTAAAGTTTAATTAAGAGTAAAATAGGAGCATCTGGGAGGCTGAGTTGGTTAAGCATCTGACTGTTGATTTTGGCTCAGGTCATGATCTCAGAGTCTGTGAACTTCATGCTCAGCAGGGAGTCTGCTTGAGATCCTTCCCTCTCTCTTTGCTAGTCCCCTCCACTCACTTGGCACTCTCTCTCTCTCTCTCATAAATAAATAAATCTTTTTTTTTAAAGAGTAAAATAATGCTTGGTAAAATACTCCCTCATCTTATCAGAATACCAGAAAAACTCAGTCTGTGCCTAAGGCAAGGTGTGGTACCATTAGGTGGCATCTTGCCACTGTACAGAGGCCTCAAATCATGCTACTCTTTTAGCAAATTGAAATTATCCTAATGGCTTGAAGACATCTGGAGAAGCCTTAGCCTCACCCACTTCTTAGCTTCTAGCAAAGCAGTCTCCTCTTGTGTCCCCTTCCTCCTTCAGACCTGCCTTCTCCACCCCCAGTGCATATCTTATTCCCACCTCTCTCATCACTATGTACTGATCCACTGTATGTGGTTAGGGGTCTGAACCATCAGCACATTCATCTACAGTCCACTACAAATCCAGCAGTGAAGCAAAGCAGTGGAAATACAATGGTCCAGGACAGACTCTGTTCATGTCCTGTCATGTGGGGGTGATAGGCCTCAACCATATTTAGTTTCTTTGACTGAGGTTGCCTCATCTGTACATCAAGGGTAGTGAAAACATGGACTGTTACAGTTCCCCAAGGTTATTCAGAAGCTCCAAGTCTGAAAAAAGCACTGAAAACTGTAAGTGCTCCCCAAATATTGGTTGCTTTTAGGATTATTACCAAAGGATCTCTTTCCCCTCAGGCTTACTTTATAGGATAAAGTGGGGGTTGGTAACACTAAACTGATGAGTTACATTAGTGAACCCAAGTAATGAAAGTAAAGTGTTTTAATCGGTTTGGGCTGCTAGAGCAAAATATCATACACTGGGCAGCTTGAACAGCAAACATTTATTTCTCACAGTTCTGGAAGCTATGAAGTCCAAGATCAGGGTACAAGCAGATCTGCTGTCTGGTGAGAGCCCCCTTCCTGGTTTGCAGTTGGCCACTTCTTTGCTGCATCTTTGCACAAGAAGAGAGAGCTCTTCTTGTCAGGACACTAATCCTACTATGTGGGCTCTACCCTTGTGACCTTACCTAACTTAATTGCTTCCTAAAAGCCCTGCCTCCTAATACCATCACATTGGGGGTTAAGGTTTCAACATGTGAATTTGGGGGGAACACATCCAGTCCTAACCATAAGGGGTCAAAATATTTTGAAATATCTGGGACACCACAATGTATGAACAATGGACCAAGCTGGAAGTGAGGTATGGAATTTCAATTCAGGCTCTGTATCTTGCCCCATAAACTAGGAAAGTCACTTAGGAAATTAGCAATTAATTATGTGTCACGTACCATGTTAGGTATGTAATTCACATACGCTATTTCTAATCTTAAAATATTATAGCAAGGTAATTAAAATTATCCTTACTTTGCAGATGAAGACATGGAGACTCTGAGTGGCTTAGTAACATGCCTAAGATTACAAACATACTCAACAGTAGCCCCTCTAAGATTCAGACCTAGTTCTCTTTCTAAAATCCCTTCTTCCCTGACTCTATCATGCCATTGCTTTCCTCTGTGGTTGTCTTCTATGTGAGTTGAATGGTCAGTCTAAAAATTTTCTTAGGCCCCATTCAAATCTAAAATGTGATAATCGACTGTAGGTGATGAGTATTTGGACTTCTTAGATGAGCTATTAAAATAGCTCTAAATAAATTGACTTGTGTGCCTCTGAATAGATTGTAAGTGTACCAAGATGTTAAGACACTTATCTCTCAGGCTTGTGGAGAGGAGACAGGGAAAGCTGGAACCCCTGGCCCCATCACTGGGAGTACCCTCTTCCATTTACTCCAGTTTGCCATGTGACTAAGACAATTTTTGGTGTGTCATGACCAAAAGTGTTTGGGAAGCTCTGTAATAATGAATCACATGACTACATATAACAGGGACAGTATTCTGGTGCTTGAAACCAGAGAATCTATATAATTCAACTCATGTTGTGAGCCTGGAAATGACTTAGTTATCCCAGAAAAAAAGCCATAGCATGATTTATACATTCTGCAACTTGTATAGTTGGAGGAGCAAATAAACTGTGCAAAGGCAGACACTGAGGGAGCCAAGAAAATTAAACATTGATCTTTTGAGCATTCCTAGGTAACCGTATTTATGTAAAAGTTTATTTAAACTAATAGTCTTTCTACGTTTTTAAGCCTTTATTAAACTAGAAGATATGTGCCAAGTTCACCTACTACTGACCAACATGAGTTTTGAGTTCTGAGATGCAATATGAAATTCTACTTGATTCTAATCTTTTCTTTCCATTGATTCCAAAACTTCTAAAGTACATTGCACTGTAGAAATATGCAAAGTAGTTACCTAGGATGACCTAGTTGATGTTTAATAGTTTATCGAGCATGTACATCTCTGAAATATTAAGATTAGAATTCCTTGACAAATTATAAAGCTCGTATTTCCTCTTGGTTTAGAGGTGAGCTTCTACATTTTATAGCCAGAAACTGACCTTGACCCTTTTCATGAAACAGAACTGTGGAAGTATAGGCTGCTGTAGTTCCTATGATGCCCTTCTTTGCAGGCAGTCTTCCAGGGATGAGAAATACACTAAGGGACAAGAGAGAAAGATTCAAAAATACAGCATCCTGTGAGCAAAATATAATCCATGCAATTAATTAAAACTGCAACCTCTTAAGGGGACATGTGCCCCCCAACATCAGCTATTTCAGAAAAAATGTACCACATTGCTTCAGTCTAAGACAAGTAAATATGCTCATTGCATGCAGAAGAAACCAAAATTCTCTACTACTTCTCTGTTTAGTCCATTGCCAGCCTATACCTTTGTTTGGGACATTAAGGCTTCACATAAAAATTTTCAGACTTGTCTTCTTCATGTTGAAAGTTAAGAGGAAGGTGGTCTTTTTTCTAATAAACAATAGTAAAATTATTGATTTCATTTATGAGTCATAGATCACATTCTCTCTTAAATGCAGTTCATTACTTAGGGTGTCCTAATATTATTTAAAAGTTTAAAGCTGGATGCTGCTATCTCTGTTAAATGTAGAAAAGAAAACCAGTAATTCATGACTACATCTACGGCAAATTCTCCTTTCATTGTCCAAACTCAAATTATTGCTTCATTTTGCATGTTGTCTTTAAAATGAGAAAGTTGATTAGAGACCAATGTTCACTATCCTTTAGAGCTTAAGCAAATTACAAAATGAAAATAAAATAGCTTTATGTAAATATAAAAACATCTTTAATTTAGTTTCAAGTGTAAATATTTATTTTGAAAATATAAAATACAATAGCCTTTTGAATAAGGCCTCCAAGTTTATAAAAACTTTAATTGAGATTTTCTAGGGTAGAATAAGAAAATTACACCCACCAACAGTTCTATAAAATAGAAGGTCTAGTAGGGCTCTTGCAAAGATAATACCAAGTCAAATAGCCAACAGAAAAGGCTCAATAAAAAACAACCACTATGCCACTGGGGTGTTCGTTTACTTTTGTTTTCTCTTTTCAGAGAGAAAGAGAAATGTTCTGGGGTTCTGGTAAACTCTGAGGTTTGTTTGAAATGTTCCCCAAATGTGTCATGCTGTATCATGTCTAAATGCTTTTCAAGGTTGGTTCTCTCTATCTTGAGCGCCCAGCACCTTCTTCTCCTGGCAAATTTAGATCCATCATTTAATGTCCAGTTCCAAAGAACCACCTCAAGAAAGCCTTTTTAGATACTGGTTAAATTGATCCATAGCATGGGCACAGTTCTATTCTAGCACTGCTTGTGACATTAGACTTCTCCCTGTGAGTAGAAAACAAGTTAAACTTTGTTTTTGCCATGAGTTTTCGGTAAGATTAAACATAACAAATGGAACCACCTAGCACAAACTTATATGTTTTGTCTACACTGAGTAAATGCTTTCTGATGTCACTGCTATTGTTATGATTAGGCTGCAGGGCCTGCAGAGAGGGCAGCTAAACTGCAGCCAACACAGTCACACTGGGCTTATGCATGTAGCAGCACAGGTAGGTCACTCCCACATCCCTGGTCACTCAGGTCCTTCTCTCCCTCTCCTGTCTTCTAATTGTCACAGGGAATACTTAGAGGTGAAGTGATAGATCAACAAAGGGAACTTTATCCTGCATTTGGTTTTGCAGACATAGAATCAGGTACTTTTGTTCAATTCTCACTGACTCCTGGGAGAATCCTGGGTTTACCTGGGAGCTAGAAATAATGGTTTTCTTTTTGTTTTAATATATGATATGTGCTACTAATGTAATGATACATACTAATGTATGACAAATTGCAAATCAAATGATCATATTACTGAGTTGATATATTTAGAGAATTTAGACACTATCTTTGCTAGTATTTGTTCTTAAATAAGGGAAGTTTTTTCTTTACTTTTTTATATTAATTTCAGAGGTAGAATTTAGTGATTCATTACATCAACTGCCCTCCTTAATGCCCATCACCCAATTACCCCATCCTGCCACTCATCTCCCCTCCAGCAACCCTCAGTTTGTTTTCTACAGTCTAGCATCTCTTATGGTTTGCCTCCCTCTCGATATTCATCTTATTTTATTTTTTCTTCTCTTCCGCTGTGTTTGTTTTCTTAAATGCCACAGATGAATGAAATAATATGATATTTGTCTTTCTCTGACTGACTTCACTTAGCATAATAACCTCTAGTTCCATCCATGCCACTGCACATGGCAAGATTTCATTCTTTCTGATGACTAATATTCTTTTGTATATACATACTACATCTTCATCTGTTGATGGACATCCGGGCTCTTTCTATATTTTGGCTAAGGTGGACATTGCTGCTCTAACATTGGGGTGCAAGGTGCCCCTTCGAAACACTATGTTTGTATCCTTTGGATAAATACCTACTAGTGCAATTGCTGGGTTGTAGGGTAGTTCTATTTTTAACTTTTTTGAGGACCTTCCATACTATCTCCCAAGGTGCCTGCACCAGTTCGCATTTCCCACCAACAGTGTAAGAAAGTTCCCCTTTAGAAAAATGTTTTTATTTTTTTACAAAAAAGAAACCCCCCCCAAAAAAAAGTAAATATGTGAGGTGATGGGATGTGATAATTAACACAATTGTGGAAATCCTTTCACAGTGTATGTGAATACCAAATCTTCATGTACACTAAATATCCTGTAATTTTATTTGTCAGTTATACCTCAAGAAAGTGATGGAGGGAGAAGCCAACCAAATAAAAAGTGACCAGTTAAGACAGTCTATTTGTTTGTTTTTAACAATACTTAATACCATAGGTATTTGGAAATATCTAAAAATTCAGGAATACCTACATTTGTGTCAGTTTATTGACCCAGTTAAAACCTACTTGCATATTTTCACGTGCATGCAGTATATAATTGTAAAGTAAGGAAGAGAATTTTGCATGTTATATGCTAGATTTATTCTTTATTCTACAGCCATATTAGTTGTATGCTTTTCTCTCAAAGTCACATGCACTAAACCGGTAATAAATGCCAGCCATATGTAAAATGGCATGTTTGAGGATCTCAAGGTTGCAATGATATATCCCTGACTTCTAGAAACTTATGGTAGTTTAGCAATAGGTATTCCTTATCCTTGTATTTTTCCTGTTCCCTCTCTTTTTGGATAGTACATATGAAATTTAACTAGCAATTTTATAGGCCTATAAAATCATAAGCAGATTGACTCTCAATCTTTAAAGATTTTAAGAGGAATTGTAATGGCGGTGTACAGGCAAATATGGGAATAAGAAAGTAATTTTTATCAGTTAATATCATCTCATCAGTTAACTAACATGTATTCAACAACTTCACCCTGACAAAGGTTAACGTGCTGCTAGCATTACCACAGTATCCGAGGCAAGTATTTATGGTGAAATTTAACATAGTGGTACCTTCCCTGGCACCTGCACATATTGTCTTCTTGTTTTAGTCACTGTGTGGGGAGCATTCACTTTCTGTGTATTTGCTCAATGGAAAATACGGTATGTTCTGTAGCCCCTTGCAGCACTTTTTTCAGAAAGTGAAGCATTTTTTCCAGTAGAGTATAAACCAATGCCACCTGACAGTAGGATTTCTACTAGGGTAAAATATCATAGATTTTCTCTGAGAATAAGGACCTATATATGAAACTATTAACTATGGGCTGCTGTAACAAAATACCACAAACTTAAAATTGGCTTAAATAACAGAAATGTATTGTCTCATAATTCTGGTGGCTGAAGTCCAAGACCAAAGTGTCAGCAGGGTTGGTTCTCCTGAGGCCTCTCTCCTTGGCTTGTAGATGGCTGCCTTCATGCTGTGTCCTCATATGGCCTTTTCTCTGTGCATAGTCCTGGTGTCTTTCTCTCTTCTCATAAAGACATCAGTCCTACTGAAATAGGACCTCACCCTTATGACCTCACTTACGTTTAATTTTCTCTTTAAAGGTTCTGTCTCCAAGTACAATCACATTGGGACTCTGGAGCTTCAACATATGGATTTGAGTGTGGGTGGGAGACAGGACACAGTTCAGTCTATAACATGAAAAAAAAACTTCAAAATCGTAAATATAATAATCCCATTAAAAGAAACTTCCCAAAATTTTTCTGAGGATTCTTTCAAGTCCTCTGAGAAAGTAAATTAGGCAAAATATAAAACACAGCTGTCATGACTTTTACTTCACATCTCATGTTTAAGAAATGGCACATTAGTTATTTTTGTAAATAATGTTTAATCAACAGGCTATAGGAAAATTGATTTGGGCTACTATTTGGGCACTATTACCCCCCTTTGTCCAGATTCAGTGTAAATCCTGAAGGTCTTAGGTGGTTGAGAAATGCACTCTTTTTCAGCCCACACTGGTCATTGTCTCTGTTTATTGTCCAAATCACACAGTGGCTCCAGGGCTGAGATGCAGGGTAGGGATTTGCTGAGATTGAAAGCCTGACACCTGGGGTCCTGCCTCTTAAGAGTAATGAGAGAAAGGGAACAGTGCAGAGATGTCTACTACCTTTAAGCCTCTAAACTATCCATTTGTCCCCCTTCTCAGATTTAGAGACTTCTACACCTTCCCCCAGACTAGCATTTCTAGTTCCCTCATCATTTACCCCTTCTACAGAGACTCTCCCCTCAGCAGAGTTTAGAAATGCATTCCTCTTTTTACATCAGTCATTTTTTTTCTTACTATTACAAAAAATAAAAATAACAAAAGGCCTGAACTTAGCTGTCTTGTAGGCTGGCTTATTCAGTAAAGATGACAGCTAAAGTCTACACAATCCAGGAAAATGAAAAGTTCCACATGTGTCTCATCATAGCAACCAGGAGGAGAGCACGAATCCTTTCTAAGAGACAATGAGAGACATCAGAAACTAAAAAGATCAAGAAGTTGAATGAATTTCATTATAGGCTCTTTAAATGTCTTTTAAATTGTCTGTTTTACTTTTTTCACCTGCCCTGCATTCTAACTTTATTGGGAGTGTCCAAACAAGCCTCCACTCTCTTTCATGGCAAGAGGAAAACTAACATCAAGAGAGCTGAAGAGGGAAGAGATGGGACTTTTGCCACCAACACACTCTTCCCCATTTT